GGAGTGAGCAGAGAGAAATCCCTGGATTTGGGGAGGCAGCCCTTTCATAGCTAAAGGGTGCCCCCCGCTTGTAGCTCAGGTCAGGTCTGCACTCTTCAGCCTGCTGCATGTGTGTGTACATGAGCCCACACACAGGAGCACCAGGAAGGCTGTACACAGCAGAGCCTGCAGACTTTCATGTTTATTATGCCTGTGTGCACTATCTATCTATGCACATGTGTATGTGGTGTCCATGCCTGCATGCGCACCCAAGACAGGGAGCAGTACCCTCCCCACTCTACCCTGGGCAACCTGTTTGTGGCATGTGGGCGCTGGCAGGTGTACCTGGGTGGCCCTAAGGAGGGTCTCCTAGACCTGGGGCTCTGGACAGACATGGCCTAGGAACTCGACTCTGCCACTAACCAGCCCTTTTGCCCCAGGACTAGAAACCTGGCTTCTTTGAGCCTCAGTTTCCTCATCTGTAGAATGGGATGAGACAGTGCCTGGGAGAATTTGAGGAGCTTAACGCATAAAGCCTTTACACAGGCCTGGCACAAAGACTTGCTTGGCAAATAAAAAGAAGAGCCAGTTGGTACATGACATGGCAGGTGCCCACTGCTGTTATGTGTTTTATTGGTAGTCACTTGTCTACTCTCACAACCAGCCTGTGAAGTGGGTACCATCATCACTATCACCATCTCCATTTTTAAGAGGAGCAAACTGAAGAAGAGAGAGATTAAATGACTTGCCCAAGGTCACACAGCTGTTTCAAACCCAGGCAGGTGGGCACCAGATCTGCACTCTTGCCCACACCCCACCCCCCAGGCCTCCCTTGCACACGTGTGGGCACGCGCTCACTAGCTGACATGCCACATTCTCTCACTGCACTCTCCCACCCCCGCCTACTCTGGTCCCCTTCCTGCTTTCCAGGTCCTGGCTGACCGATGGACAAGAAGCAGGATAGTGAGATTTGAACAGAATCTTCTAGACCAGTGGTCGGCAAACTGCGACCCCTTGAGTGTGGCTCTTCCACAAAATACCATGTGCGGGTGCGCACGTACAGTGCAATTGAAACTTCGTGGCCACACTCAAGGGGCCGTAGTTTGCCGACCACTGTTCTAGACCCACGGGCCTCCTATCTTCTCAGGCCACTCGGCAATACTTCAACGTCCATACATGGCGCCTCCCACTCCCAAGCAGGCAGACAACACACTGGTTGGAGGGACTTCTGTGTACCCCTCGCCAGGCATTTCTGAATAAAAATTAGAATAACAATAATTCTCACTCACGAAGTAATTTTCCTGGAACTCCAGCTCGATATTTAATCCTCCCAACTGGCCAGGTGGGATTATCTTCTCTATTTTGCTGAAAATTAGGCTCAAAGAAGGAAGTGACTTTCCTGGGTCAACCTGGGCCTGGATCCAGACTCAGGACTGAGCAGCTGCCTCTTAAACCTTTGCTCTCCCGACTGTAACGCAGTGTCTCACACACACAGACACGCACACCACTCACCTAGTCAAGTCACACACACTTTCCACCCACCACGCAGGCCAGACACACAACTCAAGCCCCTGCACGTGTGGCACACAGGCCTCTGCCCACCCCACGCTGCCCCCACGCTTGTCAGGCCACACTCCTTGCCACATGCTGTGCCCATCCCCCTACCCTCCCACTCCCTGGCTGGCTCCCTGAGCTGGAACAAAACCACCTGGGCTCAGCCAACCACAGTGACCTGCAGCCCCAAGTCTTTAGCTGGTTAATAGCAGCCCCTCCCCCTTGGCCTTGGGAACAGCTGCCTCCACTTAGATTCCAGGCCCCCCCTTCCTCTCTGGGAAGGAACAAAAGAAAAGCTTGGGGGGAGGAGGATCGGAGGAGGGAAAGGAGAGGAGCAAGTAAGCAGAAATGAGGGGCGAGGAGAAGCAAGGAGGAGGCAGTGGGCATCCTCCCACAAGCCCTGCCTCATGCCCAACCCGACCCCTCATCAGGAGCCCCAGGCTGTGTCATTCCCCTGGACTCCATTCTCCTGCCTGAAAATTCAGAAGGAGGTCTCCATAGTCCCAGCTGAGCTGACACTCAGGCTGCTTCTACCTTAGGATGCAAACATCTGACAGGGCCGGCCTGGGGCCAGAGGGGACCTGAGGCTCCACGGCCGCCACTGTGGACGTGTCAGCAGCTAGAAAGAACTCTGGCCTAGAGTCCCAAATGCAGGTATGAATCCCAATTCTGTGACAGTCCCTGTGCAACCTTGGACAGGATCATCACTGGCCCATATGGCACTCTTGAGAAGATGCTCCCTGGGCGAGGACACACGACTTGGCAAGCAGGACTCAGGCTGGACTTCCCCCCCGCTTCCCCCTTCGGCCTGGCACCTTTGTCAGGACACAACCTTCATAACCATACTGGCGGTCTTACGCTTGGCAGGTGTCCTCTCTGAGCCTCAGTGTCTTCATCTGCAAAACAGGGAGATCCTATCAGCCCTATGGGATGCCAGGCACAACTTCATTTGTCCTATTTGCCCCTTTATCCCCAGGGCCTAGCACAGAGCAGCACAGAGAAGGCACTCCATTAATGGCTGGGTGTAAAGGAATGAATGGAGGGCTGGCTAGAGGAAAAGCAAGCTGCAAACTATTTGAACCTTCCCACAGAATCACCCACGAGGACCGAGGCTGGTCAGGGGCAAGGCCGGTGTTGGCTTAGCAGTTTAGGGTTTGAAGGGCTTCCCCAGTCACTACACTCATATCGCTTTACCCCGGTGTGAACTTTCCTATGTCGAATGAGGATCGTGGTTCCGCTAAAAATATGTCCAGATTGCTTCCATGCATAATTCACTCCTCGGTTGCGGACACCCTGTTGGACAACTTGCTGGTTGTGGGTGGTACCCCCCCGCTTCCCCCTTCGGCCTGGCACCTTTGTCAGGACACAACCTTCATAACCATACTGGCGGTCTTACGCTTGGCAGGTGTCCTCTCTGAGCCTCAGTGTCTTCATCTGCAAAACAGGGAGATCCTATCAGCCCTATGGGATGCCAGGCACAACTTCATTTGTCCTATTTGCCCCTTTATCCCCAGGGCCTAGCACAGAGCAGCACAGAGAAGGCACTCCATTAATGGCTGGGTGTAAAGGAATGAATGGAGGGCTGGCTAGAGGAAAAGCAAGCTGCAAACTATTTGAACCTTCCCACAGAATCACCCACGAGGACCGAGGCTGGTCAGGGGCAAGGCCGGTGTTGGCTTAGCAGTTTAGGGTTAGGGAAAGGCACTAAATGGGACTCAGGAGACTGGCTGCACTGCCCACTATGGCCATGTGCACAGCCCTTCGCCGTTTCCCACAGCCTTCAGCTCCACGACCACAGTAACTATGAAAAGAATAGCGCTGGCCGGTGTGGCTCCGTTGGTTGGAGCATCATCACACATATGTGATGAAAGGTTGCTGGTTCGACTCCCAGTCAGGACATGTACCTAGGTTGCAGGTTCGCCCCCTGGTTGGGGCACAGTACGGAAGGCAACTAATCTATGTGTCTCCTCTCTCTCTTTCTCTCCCCCACTCCCTCCCTCCGTCCCTCCCTACCCCTCTCTCTAAAAATTAAGCATATCCTCAGGTGAGGATTAACTAATTTTTTTAATAAGAAGGGCTGTCACCTATGCCCAGATCTGTGAATCCCCTCCTCCAGTCCACACCAGCGGCAGGCATTAGTCACACCCTTTCCCAGGTAAGCACACAGAGGCCACGGTCGCTGGGCCTCCAGGGTGTCCAGGGTCACACAGACAGAATCAGTAGCAGTGGACTCCTCTCAGACCTGTGCAGTCCCACTGGGTGTCATCATCCCCATTCAGCAGATGAGGAAACTGAGACCCATAGAAGTTTGGTAATGCAGCCAAGGCCCCATTGAAGGGTCATGTCAGGGCTTTGGTGGCCTCGCCTCCCTGGGCCTTGGTTTCCCCTCTGGGAGGTGGGGAAAGGGCCCCTCCTCTCCTGCTGGGGGTGAGGGAGGGTGGAGCGGGGGCAGGGGCAGAGCCTTGGGCTGAACCCTGCCCACCAGGCGGCTTTGTCCTGCCGCACAAAGAGCCCTTGCTTGGCATTCGAGGCCTTTGTGGGCCACGCAGCCTGGCGGTACCCGCCTGCGTTATCAGCTCAGAAAGCGTCAGCCAGCACTGGCGGGGCCTCTCTGGGCTGCCGCCCGAGACATGTGCTGGACACGGGCCTTTCAGGCCTGGAGCCGCCACACAAAGGCCCGGGAAGACGGCAGAACAAAGGGCTTTTTCACTGGGCAGCTGAAAGCCGCAGATTAGTTCCTGCATGCTGTGCAGGCAGGGCGGGAGCGGGCAGCCAGCGGCTCCTCCCCCAGACCCCCTAGATGCAGCATCACTCGCCCAAGTCCCTGATCGGGGGCATCCGCGCCCAGGCAGCCAGAGAGCCTCGTGACCCAGAGCCCACCCCTTTTCCCTGCTCAGAATTCCTCCTGGCCCCCCGGCCCTGTCCAACCTCTGAATCCTGTGCCCTGCGTGTCCTGGTGCCTAGCTCTCCCCTTCCCGCTTCTAACCATTTTGCATCATTTTCCCTTTCCTGAATAATTCTCACCACCTACCTTTGCATCCTCTGTTCCCCCTGCCCCATAAACAGCTTCCCCCTTCTCAGGCCCAATTCCAGGGTCACTGCTTACAGAAACATAAGAATCATATATCCAGCGAGTGTTAACTCCCTTCAGTGACTCTGCCTACTTCCAGCCCTTGCAGCAGCCGTTAGCCCATTTACCCAATGGAGAGGCTGAGGCTCAGAAACGCTGAGGCTGCCAGTGGGCACACAGCAGGCACCCAGTGCAGCTGAGATGCAAACCCAGAACCTTTCCACCCTCCTCTGGTGGAAAGGCTTGCTCTGCTCCTTGTGCCTCCCAAGCAGGTGTCCTTGGCGATAGGGCGGGGTGGGGCGAGGGACATGGCGCGGGTTCCATCTGGTGCCGGGGCACCTCAGTCAGCCCCGCCCTGCCTCCATCAGGTATGCCATTGACCGAGAATCGGATTTGGACCAGATCTTCGACATCGATGCGGACACAGGTGCCATCGTGACGGGCAAGGGACTGGACCGTGAGACCGCCGGCTGGCACAACATCACGGTGCTGGCCATGGAGGCAGGTAAGCTGGGGCGAGGGGGCAGGATGGAGAGAAGGGTGAAGGCTGCGGGGGGCAGGGTGAGGCAGGGCAAAGAGGAAGAACCCTGCAAAGATGGCAGGGTGGGAGGAAAGCAAAAGTCAGTGGGCAGGCCCAGTCGCTGTGGCTCAGTTGTTGAGTGTTGACGTGAACCAGGAGGTCATGGTTTGATTCCCAGTCAGGTCACATGCTCCGGTTGCAGGCTCAATCCCCAGTAGGGGGCGTGCAGGAGGTAACAATGAATGACTCTCATCATTGATGTTTCTCTCTCTCCCTTTCCCTTCCTCTCTGAAATCAATAAAAATATATATTTTTAAAAGTCAATGGGCAGGAACAGAGAAATGTGGGAAGGATCTAGGCCAAAATAGCAGGGCCAGTCCTGAGGCTGGTTTCTTCCCTCAGCAGTTATTGAGCACCCACTGCATACCAAGCCCTGTGTTAGAGGCTGAGGATACAGCCCTGAACAAGACAGACAGGCTTCTGTCTTTCTGGGGGAAGCGAGCCTGTGAACAAATGGAGAGAAAAGGTGGACATCGAGTCAAGGGAGAGAAGAGAGCAGGGGAAGGTGGGGGGTGGGAGGGTTGTTTCTCTTAAGAGAAGGCCTCTCTGGGAAAGAGGCATTTCATCAGAGACCTCAGTAAACTGAGGAGTCATGCTGCTGTCTAAGGGAAGAGTGTTCCAGCAGGAGGAACAGCCAGTGCAAACGCTCTGAGGTGGCAGTTTGCTTGGCCTGTTGGAGGGTCAGCAGGGAGGCCAGTGTGTAGTGAGGGGCAGAGTGGTCAGTCATTGTAGGGTCTTCGGCCTTTACTCCAAGTGAGGTGGGAGTCGGTGGGGAGAGTTGAGCAGAGAAGGGACGAAGTCTGACAGGGTGCCTCTGGCTGCTGCATTGAGAATGGAAAGCAGGGATCCGCTAGCCAAATGCCAGGGTGCAAGGAGGACACGCCAGTGGCCTGGCCCAGGGCAGGAGCTATGGAGGAGGGAAGAAGTGGTCAGCTTTCAGAGACAGGATGATGGGAGAGCCAGCAGGACCCGCCGCAGGATGGTGTGGAACTAAGAGATGGAGAGAAGGCAAGGAGGGCTCCCAGGT